ATTTACCGCCCGATTGGGGCTGCATTCCCAAACAACCCGACTCGTAGACGGCGCTTCGTGGTGCAACGGGGTCCAGCCACGACGGGGCTCTCACCCTCTCTGCGCCCCCTTCCGGGGGACTTGGGCTTGGTTCATCGTTGAGGTCGCTTCTCCGGACTCAATTCAAACGCCACGGGCGCTTGATTCTCAAGCTGGGCACCTCCCGGTTCACTCGTCGTTACTAAGGGAATCCTTGTAAGTTGCTTTTCCTCCACTTATTGATATGCTTAAACTCGGCGGGTAGTCTCGCCCGACACGGGGTCACGGCGAGAGCATCCTAGCAAAGCCGATGATGCTCGAGGATCTTGGATATCCCAAAGCGCAACGGGGCATACGCACGACGCTTTTAAGGGTTCTTTCAACCACCTCTCATCATGGCAACCATCGCCGAGGACTCAATTTTGGGCCAACCATGAGCGAAAGCACACACAGGAGACCAATATCCGCCCCTCACCCTCGTTAGTCGAGAGGGTTTGGGGGCGACGATGCGTGACACCCGGGCAAACGTGCCCTCGGCCATGAGGCCTCGGACGCAACTTGCTTTCAAAAACTCGATGGCTTATGGGATTCTACAATTCACACCAAGTATTGCATTTCACTACGTTCTTCATCGATGCAAGAGTCGAGATATCCATTGTCGAGAGTCATTTAGCTTATCACGAAATGGAGATGCACCCCCGAGCACCCTTCGGCGACGAGAGCGCACTCTTCGTACTCTAGATCCTTGGTGCTTCTCACGCTGGGGATTTTTTTTAGCTGCGTTGGGTGCTGCACCCGTCCTTGACCCCGAGGGACGCGGGGGCAAGAGCCCCTGCGGCCCTAGCATGCTTGGCCACAAGTTCGCAGGTCGTCTCGCCGAGCGAGGTTTTGACAATAATCATTCCGCGAGTTCACCTACGAAAACCTTGTTATGACTTCTCCTTCCTCTAAATGATAAGGTTCAACGAACTTCTCATGATGTCGTCGGTGACGAACCGCCCACATCGTCGCGATCCAAACACTTCATCGGACCATTCAATTAGTAGAAGCGACGGGCGGTGTGTACAAAGGGCGGGGACGTAGTCAACACGAGCCGATGACTCGCACTTACTAAGAATTCCTCATTAAAGACCAACAATTACAATGATCTATCCCCATCATGATAAAATTTCAAAGATTACCGGGCCTATCGGCTAAGGCTATAGACTCGTTGAATACATCAATGTAGCGTGCGTGCGACCCGGAACATCAAGGGCATCACGGACACGTTATTGCCTCAAACTTCCTTGGCTTAGAAGGCCATAGTTCCTCTACGAAGCCGGTCACGGAGGGTCCCCTCCATATAGCTAGTTAACGAAGCCGAGGTCTCATTCGTTAACGAAATTAACCGGAAAAATCGCTCCACCAACTAAGAACGGCAATGCGCCACCACCCATAGAATCAAGAAAGAGCTCTCGGCTAAGAACAATGAATGGTTTTGTAAGTCTGTTGAGCTTTTTGTAAAAGGTCCTAGCTAGGTTCCTCTTAGTTATTGTTTGGTTTCTCTTGGAATCTCTCCTAGGTTGATCCCTCGAGCAACCATCTAGGTAAAGCTCTAGTTCGGGTTTTTGGGAGCTCGTTCCCTTTTTGTAAATCCTGTATATGTTACTTGTTGGTTTTCCAACTCGGTTTTACTTTGATTTATACACTTACATTTAAATAAAAAAAAAAGAAAGAGCTCTCGACTGTTTTTTAATGTCACTTTTGTCTACGGGTTGCACTCCGATTCTTGCAAGAAGAGGGTTGTGGGTCGATCTTCGCCATTAGCGATCAACCGCCCTTGGATTATTCCGGGGACTTTAATTCTATTTTATCACAAGCCGACAAGCATAGGGGTATGCTTGTCTCCAACTACGAAACCACGGACTTCAAAAGTTGTTGCTCGATCTTGGGCTAATGGACCTTAACTATACGGGGAGCCATTTTACTTGGCATGTGGGCGATGTATGGATAAAATTTGATCGAGTTCGGCCAACCCTTTATGGTCCTCCTCTAGGCACCCCATTCATGTTCATTTTTCCCCCGGGTGCTTTTTCGGATCATTCTCCGATATTGGTACATTTGGGCTCCCACGTTTCTTTCGGAACCCGTAGCTTCAAATTCTTCAATATGTGGGTCGTCCACGATGCTTTTCCGTGAATTATGGCTAACGGTTGGGAAGCTAGAATCGGTGGCACCCCTACGTATATCCTTTATCGCAAATTGAAATCTCTCAATGAGCCTCTTAAGAAACCGAACACACTCCATTTTAGCCACATCTCCCAAAAGGTGGCCGTGGCCGAATCGATTTGGTCGCACTACGGATCGAGCTTCACTCGGATAGAGATAATTTGGAGCTTAGACGGACGGAAAAAGGCTCCAGCTCTATTTGGCTAACCTCAAAGCTTCGGAAAAGATGTTCTTTGGTCGAAATTAAAGTGCAAGTTTCTTAAGGATTGCGACAAAGGCACTAGTTTCTTTCATCGACTTATGAACCGGAAGAATAAAGCCAACTATATTGCTCGCACTTCATCGGGGAAATGGGCGACTCACTACCTCTATTGCAGAAGTAGGAGAGGAGTTTGTTTCCTATTATCACAACCTCTTAGGTACCACCAAAGCTACGGTGCCCCTTGACTCGCAAATTGTTGCTAGTGGGCCTCGATTACAAACGGCCGGCCATGATCGGCTTCTCTCCCGGTCATTGTGGACCTCATCCAAAAGACACTCTTCGAGCATAGAAAATGATAAAGCACGGGCCCCGATGGGTATTCCTCATTCTTCTTCAAACGAGCTTGGGAGATTGTTGGATAAGATTTTTATGCGGCAGTTCAAGACTTTTTGTATCCGGGAAGCTACTCAAACGGAGTTGGCCACTCTGTTGTAGCTTTGGTCCCAAAAACAACCAATGCTATCGTGCCTAATGACTTTAGGCCAATCTCGTGCTTGTAATGTCGTCTATAAGGTAATCACCAAGATCATTTCCTCCCGGCTATCCTTGGCTCTAATGGATATAGTTAATCCTATGTAGAATGCCTACCCGGGGGTCGGAAAATGTCGGACAATATCTCGCTTGGTTCAGGAGTTACTTCGAATGTATGGTCGGAAATGTTCTTCTTCGAGGTGCCTAATGAAGATTGATTTCTATAAGGCCTTTGACTCCGTGCGGTGGAGTTTCCTAAAATAGCTCTTATTATAATTAGGTTTTACGGACATATTTGTTGGTTGGATTATGACATGTGTTGAATCGGCCTCCTACTCCATCTCGATCAACGGGGGCTTGTTTGGGTTCTTCCCGGGCAAGGCAGGGGTTAGGCAAGGTGACCCCCTCTCTCCCTACCTATTTATGATTTGCATGGAATACTTCTCTCGCCTGCCGAAGGTTGCTCGCAAGGAATTCGATTTTCGCTTCCACCCTCGGTGCGGGGTCCATGCCATCACCCACCTAGCATTCGCGAATGACGTCTTGTTACTTAGCCATGCGGATATTACCTCCATCAAGATTCGACCAGCCGGTTGCTTATCTTTGAGAGTGTTTACGGCCGAGCCATCAATGTGGCCAAGTCCTCGATCTTCTTTAGTGGGGTCGAAGCGACTTAAAAGACTCAATCCTTCAAGAAATTGGGTTTTGTGAACGTTCTTTCCCCTTTAAATACCTAGGGGTCCCTCTAAGCCCTCATCGCCCGCTCGCTAGCCGCGTTGCCCCTTTGTTACATAGTCTCGATTCGGCGATCCGGAGCTGGATAGGAAAACATCTATCCTACGCGGGTAGGCTAGAACTCCTCGGATCCATCCTCTTCGGCATGATACAATTCGGCTCGTTATTTTTCCTATGCTTACTCGTGGTCATTGCACGTATCACCGGTATGTGTCGGAATTTTTTATGGACGGGAGATGTCAATAGGTGTTCTTCGGCTTTGGTGGCTTGGAAAAGCCTCTGTTCCCCTAAATGCGAGGGGGCCTCGGAGTCTTTGATATCAAAGTGAAAAACCAAAGTTTTTTGGTCAAAAGGCTGCGGGACATACACCTCAAGGTCGACTCTATTTGGATTCGTTGGATCCACCATTTCTACTTGCAAGGCTACCGAGTAGTATGGGATGCTTCGCATATCGTAATGCTTCGTCGTTGTGGAAAGCTATTCTTCATGTGAAAGACTTGCTTGTTGTGAAATATGAGAGTAAAGATGCGGCTATATGTGAGCTTGCTAGGTGGAACTCGGGAGAAGAAAGTTTCTCTAATACGAGCATATACACGGCTTCGGCCGGTTGGGGTGCCTCGTGTCTGGGGTAGGGTGATTTAGGAGTCATGGTCTCGCCTCGGCATTCCTTTATTATCCGGTCGGTCGTTAGGGGAGCCTTAAAAACTAAGAACCGTCTCCGGTTTCGCCTACCACCGATGCATGCCTTCTTTGTGACCAAACCTCCGAGTCACTTAACCACTTGTTCTTCTCCTGCCCTTGGACGGCTAACCTCCGGTTGAAAATCAAGCAATGGCTCCGAATCTACAAAGGTATACATACGCTCACTAGTGCGATCGGAGGCCTATCTTGTCGTCGTAACAACCTTGAAGCGAAAATGATGAGAGTGGCCCTCGGTATCACGGTTTATGTCATATGAGAATAGAGGAACGAGCGTGCCCTCGATGCCTTAGCCGAGCACGGTAGACAATGTGTTTTGTAAATTCCGGATAATCTTCTACATGGTATTCTACTTTCATGAATCAAACCCCCTCCTTTTTTACGTGGGTGTGCCTTGATCTCCTACTTGAGGGCTCCGAGTACTATCCGGATAGGTTGCTTATGTTTGGTCCTTTGGGTTCGAGTCTTCTTGGGTTGTTTGGCTCCTCTTGTCTGTTTTGAGTTGGTGGTTACGGGGTTGTGTTACGGTCGGGGGTCGCACCTCTATTTGGGCCTGTCTAGTCCTCGCTTTGGTTCTTTGTAGCCAACTCCTTGGTCTCTACTGCCGATGGTCGATTTGATTGGGCTTGCTTCTATCGGTGGATTACCTTTTTCGGGTTTGATTGTAGGTCCGCTTGATTGTTTGTGTGGGCTCGGCTTTTGGTTTTTTTGGCTTCTAGTTTGGTTGGGTATGGGTAGTATTGTCTTTGGGCTTGCCATTGAGCGCTCTGGTTGTCCCGGCCTTGGGCGGCTCGATATGTCTGCCTCCTCTTGGTCTTCTACTAGCCGATCCGCATCGATTGGGCTTCACTAGTCCAAGTCTATTGTTGTATTCGAGCCTCTTTTAGTGGTGGCCCTAGTCTCCCCTCCCGGCCCATACAACACTTGCTTATACTTCTAACTTGCTCCAAGTAGCTGCTTCGGGTGCTCCTTTGGGTTGGCCTACTCATGAATTAGGCCTCGCCTCCATTCTTCCCGCCTAGCCTGTCTCTCTGCCTAGCTCGATGCTTCGCTCCACTAGCTACTCGTCCCAATCGCTTCGTCGGTTCCTTACTTCGCTAAGATAGCGAGCTTCCATCTGTACGGTTTTTGGTCTACTTGATTGTTTGTGTGGGCTTTGGCTTCGGTTTGGTTGGATTTGGGTGGTATTGTCTTTAGTCCGGTCGCCGAGCTCTTAGGCTCTCGGGTTGATTTGCATTTGGGTACTATCCCTCGGTTGTTTTGCCTTTGGTTGTCCCCTGCCTTGGCTAGCTCAATATGTTTGCCTCCTCTTGGTCTTCTAGCTGCTGGTCCACATCGAATTACACTTCACCGGACCAGCCTCCTCTGTTGTGTTCAAGCCTCTTTTATTTGTGGCCTTAGTCTCCTCTCCCAATCCATACAGACTTGCTCATGCTTCGTCTTGCACCGAGCAGTACCGCCGGGTGCTCCTTTGTGTTGGCCTCCCCCTATGGCTCTCCGCCTAGCTTGACCCTCTTCCTAGCCTCGTTGCTTCGCTACCACTAGCCGTTGTCTATCTCTTTGTCATGTGGTCTCTTCCTTTGCCCGACTTTATGGATAGCCGAGCCCTCTAGCCCTTTGCTTTGTGTGCTTCGTTGTGCGGTCAAGCCAAGTCATCACCTGTCTGCTCCCGCAAGCCCTTGTTCTCGCTATGTTGTTAGGGCATAATCGAGGTCGCTTTTGGTTCTACCTACTCCCGCTGCTGGTCACGTCTACCAGCACTTATTCGGGTAGGCCTACTCAGCTCGTTAAGGCCTCCTAGTTTCATTTTTGAGTGCTATCGCACGATCCAGCCTGAGCTCTTGCCGATGCTCCTGCAAAATCCCGGTCTCGTCTGCGCTATTAGGGTAGGCTCTGCTGCCCTCCCTATTCTTGGCAACGACTAGCCCAAGGGCTGCTATCTAGGTTGAATGTTGTTTTCTCGTTGTATTCACTATTGCTTTTGTACATGGTTAGGCTTTTCTCTTTTTTGCCCTCTCGCGAATGATTTTGTTTACTTATTGAGCTTTTTGTAAAGGGTATTAGCTAGTTTCTACTTGGTTTATGTTTGGTTTTTCTTGGAATCTTCGCTAGATCGATTCCTTGAGCAACCATCTAGATATAGCTACGGTTCAACTTCATGGGAGCCTGTTCCCATTTTTGTAAATCTTGTATATGTTACTCTTACTCGGTTCTCTAGCTAGTTTTACTTTGATTTATACACTTATAGTTAAATAAAAAAAGAAAGAGCTCTCGGTAGTGCTCTCGATAGCAAATCCTAGAGTGAGAAAGAAGAGAGAGATGCTCTCCTCCTTCCATGGAGCTCTTTCCCTCTAGATCTACCTTGTTTCCTTCTAGAAAGCTTTAATCCGACTCGCTTCCATTTTCCATGGTATATTTCTTATTCCCATTCCATTTTCTCTATCCCTCTTTGTTTAAGTTACCAAAAAACTTTCTCCGCCCACTACTTTTCTCTCTCCCCGACACTCTGGTTTCTTTTCTCTAATGGCAAAGAAGAAACATAAATCCATAGCCTCAACTCCTAAAGATGCTATACGGAAAAATTCTAACTACCCTATCATTGCCCTAGAAGCCCCGACCTCATCAGTCCATCCTCCGAAGGAATCCACTACCCTCTCTCCCCAATCGCCCAAAACCCTAGATCGCAGAAGGTATATCCTCTCCAAATCTGCCCTTAACCAATCCCAAGCCCCAACTTTTGGTTACGTATCTATTAAGGTCGTGGATTGCTCGGATGAGGATGAGTTCGGTGAAGAGAAGGTGGACCATTCGATCTAGAAGGACTACACCGGTCTCAATCCCAATTTTTCGAGCACCGCACCGCTTATTTTGGATTCTAGGGAAGCCATCGATACATGCCAAAATTGCCATAGGCTATTGGCTGCATTATAATTCTCCATGTGCCCTCGGCATAAACTTGCCTGCGAAGTCACCCCTCCCTTGTCCCCATTGCCGAGACAACAGTAGTGGAAACAGGGGCTCCCGAGTGTGAAGCATCTAAAGTAAGGATAGTCGTATCTCTTCCTCCTCCAGCTAGCAAGTGGAGAGACTTGTTTGTAAGTAATTGAAACTTAGCCTTGTGTCCTAAATTGTCTCATTTTTCTCGCTATCACTCAATCGAAACAATGCATTCCGCTTAATGATGACACCAAATGTGAGTTCGGAAATCCCGCCTAGTGGGTTATGTTGCGGGCGAAGCCTAGGTTATCGTGCACTAAATGGAATCATTAAGGATACCTAGAAATGTTCTGCTACTCTAACGAGTTCATGAATCGGGATGGTTAATCTATAAATTCCAATCGAAGAAGAAAAGGTCTTGGTGCTTAATGGAGGACCCTATCTAATTTATGGGCGAGCTTTGATTTTGAGACCAATGGCCGAATATTTTGATTTCTCCAGTACTGAAATGGCCACTTTCCCCTGTTTAGGTCAAGTTTCCCAACCTACCACTAAAATGCTGGTCATCTCTCTCGCTTGTCAAAGATTGTAAGTATGCTTGGCAAACCAATCCAATACGACAGATTGACCGCCTCAATGGATCGTCTCTCCTATGCTCAAGTACTCGGTAGAGTCGAATATTATGGAGACTCGCCTCGGATTGTCACCATAGTATTACCAAACGGCACAACCATCTTACAACTAGTAGTGTATAAGTCTCTTCCAATACACTCGTAAAAAATGCCGTATTCTTGGCCACTCCACACAAGTGTGGAAAAATCAAACTACTTAGGATTTGACTAAAGACACTACAAATGGTAGTGAAGTAGAAGGCGGACAAGCCAAGTCCAATGTGTTCCAGCAAGTAGATGATTCTACCAATGCTTGCCACACCGAAGCCCAAATGTACACCGACCCTATGCTCCTTGAAGTAGCACATGCGTCCAAGGAATGGGAGACAGGTGCATAGACACAAACACTCATACAGGGGTGCTAATAAAAGGAAAACCGCACTCGCTCAATTTTGATTCGGGAAGGAGCCACACGTTGACTCCGGGCCACTTAAGCCTCGACCGAACATGGCTGGCAGCAGCAAAAGAGTCGAGAGTGGACTGTGTAACCAAAAGGTCGGGCCGACCAGTCTTCGAAATCGGGAAGTTGGGGGAAGTTCGAATCGGGGTATGCTTATGAATATCTCTCTAGACAGAGCAGAGACGGTCAGTAGAGGAACGATTTCGATAGCAGAACCAATAGTAAACCGAGGGCTCACCGAGCCGGGGATGGTAACCGCAAGGAAACGGAATGCCCTGCTCCTCTTGTTTCCCTAGAGGCCATACCTATGGTACCCCAAATCGGACATGACACACGAGTTTCCATAAAAATTGTGACGAGAGCAAGTCGCCTCCGCAGAGTTACGCAGAGCGTGAAGTGGGGGTCGAAGGGGCTCAGCCTCTTCCGCTCAACTATGATCATTCTAATCGGAACGTCAAAGGGCTAAATAGCCCTCTAAAACAGCATGAGACAGTTCGTCTCATGAAGAAAAAGAATGTAGACATTTATGCCCTTGTGGAAACAAAGCTCGACTTAGCAAAACTTGCCAATATGCACGTACTTAGGCTCAAACACCGGAAATTTGCTTCTAATGCTATGGTTGTAGGTAATGCATGCATTGCTCTTTTTGGAACCCTAAAACTATTATGGTTGATGTGTTAAATGTATCTATTCAAGGTTTGAATGTTCAAATCATCGACCTTATCCAAGAACCGCTTTTCATTCAACTTTTGTATATGGGCCGCACTCTATCATCTCTAGAAGAGGGCTGTGGGAAGACCTTCATCAATGGTACTCGCACTATCCCCGGATTATTATGGGAGATTTTAACTCAATCCTCTCCTAAGCCGATAAAAATAATGGCACTCGTTGTCTCCAATTACAAGACCTCCGATTTTCGAACTTGCTGTTCCGATCCGGGGCTTTCCGACCTTAACTACACAAGAAATCATTTCACTTGGCACGAGGTGGAAGTTTGGACAAAAATTGATCGAGTTTTAGCTAGCCCCTTTCGGGCCTCCTCCCGAATTCCTACACATGTTCATTTTGAACCCTCGGGGCTTTTTCTAACCACTCTCCAATTTTTGTTTCCTTAGGCTCACACATGCGATCCGGTACTCGGAGCTTCAAATTTTTTAACATGTGGGCTGGCCATTCAGACTTTCTTAAAACACTTACGGACGGTTGGGCAACTAACATCGGTGGTACACCTATGTATGTCTTTTGTCGAAAGTTGAAATCCCCGAAGGCTCCCCTAAAATTGCTCGAACCAACTACATTTCAGCCACATATCCAACAGAGTAGTTAGAGCCGAATCTCAATTGGTTGCTATTCAAACCGAGCTTCACAATGACAGGGACAACCATGGGCTATATGAGACCGAGAAGCATCTCCAGCTTAATCCGGCTAATCTCAAGGCTTCTAAAAAATGTTCTTTGGCCGTAAACTAAAGTGTAAGTTCCTCAAAGATTGTGATAAAGGAACGAGCTTCTTTCATTGTCTAATGAATCAAAAGCACAAGGTTAATCACGTTACGGCCTTTACAAAGTGCAATGGGAAGCTCACTACCTCTATCGAAGAAGTTGGTGAGGAGTTTGTCTCCTATTATCAAAGCCTACTCGATATCGCTAAAGGTAGGGTCTCCCTAGACCCGAGTGTAATTGCTAATGGGCCTACCTTACAATTGGACGGCCATGCCATGCCGTTTGCCCCGATTTCGGATGATACCATCAAGAAGACCTTCCTTAGTATAGATAGTGATAAAGCACCGGGTCCCGATGGGTTTTCTTCTCTTTTTTCAACCAAGCATGGGATATCATCGGGAATGACTTCGTGCGGTAGTTAAGGATTTCTTTAGGTGTGGGAAACTTTTGCAATAGGTTAGTCACTCAATCATAGCTCTAGTGCCCAAGCCGGCCAATGCTACTCTACCTAGTGACTACCAACCAATAGCTTGTTGTAATGTCGTTTATAAAGTAATCTCTAAGATCCTCTCCTCCAGATTGTCCTTGGCCCTTTCGGATATTGTAAGCCCTTTCCAAAATACCTTCTTGGCGAGATGAAAAATGTTTGATAATATTTGCTTGGTTCGAGAATTGCTTCGCATGTATGGCCGAAGAGAGCCTCTCCTCGTTGCCTAATGAAGATTGACTTTCACAAAGCCTATGACTCAGAGTGCAATGGGGTTTCCTTAAACAAATTCTATTACAGTTGGGTTTCCTGGACAGATTTGTGGGGTGGATTTATTCTTATATTGAGTCAGCATCGTACTCCATTTTGATTAACGGGGGTTTGTTTAGCTTCTTCTAAGGTAAAGCGGGGGTTAGACAAGGAGATCCACTCTCTCCCTACCTTTTTGTGGTTTGCATGGAATACTTCTCCCGGCTTATACAAAAAGCAACGGAAAACTCAAATTTCCATTTCCACCCTAAATGTGAGGCTCAAGCCATATCTCACCTTGCTTTTGCAGATGATGTCTTGCTA